GAGCTGGGTATCATCAGCATAATGCTGTCAGCACAGTCCACAACTCTGGATAACCCCACTTAGTAGTTTCATGTAGATGTTGAATAGCATGGGGGACAGAACTGACCCTTGAGAAACTCCGTGCTGAAGAATCCACAGGGCTAAACAATATTGTTCAAGCACCACCTTCAAGAGACAGCCCTCCAGATAGGAGCAGGACCACTGCAATGCAATTCTTTCCACTCCTGTATCAGCCAGACATTCTAGAAGGATACCATAGTCAACGGTATTACAAGCTGCTGTGAGATGTCCATCAGTATCAGCAGGGTCACACTCCTACTGTGTTACTCTCAACACAGATAGTCAGACAGGGCAACCAAGGCTTTTTCTGGCCATGCAGGCATGAACCCCAGTTGAAACTGATCCAGATATTCAGATCCAGCATCCGGAGTGCCTGGAGCTGATTGGCAACCACCTTCTCTAGAACCTTGGCCCAGGAAAAAAATATTTGCTAATAGCCTGTAGTTGTTCAAATTTTTCAGGCCAAGGGAAGGTTTCTTGAGAAGTGATCACACCACCATCTCAGGATGGGTCCACTCCCTCTTGCAAAGAGGCATTGATGACCTCCCTGGCCCAGCTGGCTATCTCTTCCTTGCTGGCTTTTAGAAGCCAGGATAGGCAAGGATCCAGTACAGAGGTGATTGCACAAACCTGTCCCAAGCACTGTGTCCACATCCTTGAGCTGTACCAACTGAATAAAATAAATAAAACTGGACCAGACAGTGTTCTGAATAGCTCCACCAGTTCAGCTGCTGTAACTCTGGAGTCCAAGTCCTGGCAGATGCAACAGAATGTTTTCTGGAAGAGCCCAGTGAGTAGGTTACAGTGGGCCAGAGATGGTGTCCCTGGAGCCAGATTGTGATAAGATCAAGGCAAACTTGAAAAGCTCTGCTAAGCAGCAAAGAGAGGATTGATAGAGACAGTGAGGTAGTGTTTCTTTGCTGCTCTCACTGCCTCAAAATATACTCAATTGTAGGCACATGCCAGGTTTATGTTAAATTCACTGTGAGTTCTCCATCTACACACTAGCTATCTCCTATATTGTTTTATCACTCTCAGCTCCAGGGTAGACCTCCAGGGTATGAGTTCTACAATAAAGAGAGTGCTGTGGAACAATTGTGCCCTCACCCAGGTCATATCTGTATTCCACAGAGTGACCAGGGCTTCACCAGGAGCGCCAGAAATGTCAGCTGAAAAAACCCAAGAGTCCTCTGGAAATCATGCAGATCCATTAGTCTCTGGGAGCAGACCATCTTAATGGGTCCCCCACCCCTGCAGAAGGGAACAGCTGCCTTAAGACTAAATTTCAACAGGTGGTGATCTGTCCATGACAGAGGAACTGAGTCAAAGTCCCCCACATTCAGAGCACCATCATTAAATCTGGCTGAGAATACCAAGTCTCTAAATATTTGGTCTCTAAAAGGTTCGTCGTTGTTTTTGTTATACTTTAATACTGACCCTTAACCCATTGGGCTCTCTGGGCAGTTTACAGATATAAAAATATACATAGGAACAACAGAATAATCATATTTGGAAAGCAGTAAACAGTAAATACAACAACAGATTGACAACCCATGGCCAAGAGACCCAGCCCTGAACGATGTTGAAGTGGTGCCAAACAGGTGCCAAAAGGGGAATGTGTTGTGTTAGGACGGTTGTCATGGAGACCATGAAATCTGGAGCTGGCCGGATAAGGTGCCCTTAGTGTGTTGAAGTTCTCCAAGACCAACAGCCTGGGAGACTCCGACATCACATCTGAGACCACCTCTGGCAGCACAGGTAGGGAGAGTGATGGATTGCAGGGTGGGTGGTACACCACCAAAATCCCCAGTCTGTCCCATTGGCCCAATACAAAATTCAGATGCTCTAGACCAGTGGTGGGGAACATATGGCACGTGTGCTGCAGCAGGCACACAGAGCCCTCTCTGTTGGCATGCGAGCCAAGTCACCCCAGCATCACCCCAGCAGCTGAGCATCGGATAAGAGTGCACATAGGGACCATGTGCATGCTCAGAAAGGAGTAGTGGCGCCAGGTGATGACATCACGAGCCATGACTCATTAGCCATGACTCGTCTGAGATTTGCTCGGACTGACTGTGAATTGTTTTTTCTAAACTAAAACCTCAGTATTCAGGTTTTATTGCAGTGTTGGCACTTTGCAATATATAAGTCCGTTTTGGGTTGCTGTTTGGGCACTTGGTCTCTAAAAGGTTTGCCATCACTGCTCTGGACTAATTGTTGGATGGACATGGTGCCTGGAGAGAGAGATGGAATTTCAATAGTCCATGGCAATTCCCCCTCCTCGGCCCTCATGTCTACCCTGATACTGTACCAAGTACCCAGGTGGGTACAACTGGGAGAGACTAGGCCCCACACAGGCCCCAGCCACCTAGGTCTCTGCTATACATGCCAAACAAGTTGTCTCCTCCACAATTACCATGGATTAGATTAGCGTAGTGACTGGTAGAAGGTGAGATTAATTTAGACAAAGAAGGTTTTATTCTTTACCAATCTGGCATTAGAAGCAGCAT